TTAGGAAACCCCTATTCCCTCAGTATAACTGTGGTCATCTGCATATTACAGGCAAAGCAAACTGATTCGACTAATTTATTCTAATGTGGGACTGAATGACCTAGAAATACCTAACCATTCTAGAAGTGTTCACATTTTTTTTTAAAGAGGATGATTGTTATCCTGAATAAATCTACACCTGGCCATTCTTGGAGTCCTCCTCCCAACCCCCAACCCCAGCAGACACACAAAGCAGAAATGAAACCAAATAATTCAAACAATGCAGAGGATGTCTTAGGGAATTACAGGTAGGCCAGCTCCAGACCTTGGATAAGCTTTCCTAAACTCATTCTTTTTTCTTTCTTCTACATCTGTAAATACAAATTCCCTTAAGTTTTCTTTTGTTTTGCTTTGTTTTGTTTTTTAAATACTCCCCTGGATAGGCCAGAGAAGAAGCATGGAAAGACAGGGGTAGCTCTTTGCGCATGCCTGAGATTTATAAGTCAGTTCTGCAGGTAATTAAGTGCCAACCCTGTATTACAGACCAGGTATTTCTTGAGAGGTCAGAAGGAAAGAAATTTGTGAAGGCCAGAAATTTGTGGAGGAAAGGCTTTGGGAAAGATTTTGGACTTGGCTTTAATGTAAAGAATGGGTATGCTTTAGAAATGCAGAAGAGGGGAAAGGGAGTCTTGTCATGGAGGAGAGGCTTTAGGAACCAAGGCCAAGAGGGAGGTTGGAGCATGGCACTTGTTTTTTGTGTTTTCCACTCCATAGTATTTATTTTTCCAATTACATGTAAAGATAGTTTTCAACATTCACTTTATAAGATTTTGAGTTGCAAATTTTTTTCTCCCTCCCTGCCTCAAGACGGCATGCAATATGATATAGGCTATACATGTATAATCCTATTAGACATATTTCCATATTAGTCATGTTGTGAAGGAAGAATCAGAACAAAAGGAAAAAAAACACAAGAAAAAAAAGAGAAAATAATATGCTTTAATCTGCATTCAGATTCCATAGTTCTTTCTCTGGATGTGGATAGCATTTTCTATCATGAGTCTTTTGGAATTGTCTTAAATTATTGCATTGCTGAGAAGAGCTAAGTCTATCAAAGTTGGTCATCCCATAGTGTTGCTATTATTGTATATAGCATTCTCTTGGTTCTGCTCACTTCACTCAGCATCAGTTCATGTAAGTTTTTCCAGGTTTTTCTGAAATCCACTGGAGCATGGCACTTGTGGAGATCAATCTGGTCAGATTGCTAAGAGGTAGGGATTGAGGAATATTGGGAAAGATAAGATGTAGGACTGAAAATCTAGAGGGTTTATAACAACTGCAGTGCAGGTATACCTACATTAACATGTTCTGGGGAGGTTCCTTTACTACAAATTTAGCCATGTTTTAGAATACACACAAAACCCCAAAACTTTATAAATCATGCAAAGTCACTTTGGCTTCATCACATGGGCCTTGAATCAAGGGCAATGGAGAGATGTATGGTGGGGACAAGTCCAATGGCAGCATGCTTCCAATGATGACCTATGCAAAAAAAAAAAGGGGGGGGATGTAAGGTATATCACTAAAGAAATGGGTGTTTAGAAAAGAAGGAGGAAAGGTTGGGCATGATTCTGCAGGCCTGTAGTCCCTGCTAGTGAGGAGGCTAAGGCTGGTGGATCACTTGAGTTTAGGAGTTCTGAGCTGCATTAGGACTAAAGTTGATTGATATCTGTATTATGTGGCAAATATAGTGAGCCTCTGTGCTACGAGTCTGCTTAAAGTAGGGCAAACCAGCATAGGTTGGAAACTGAGCAGGTCAAAGCTGGCTCATGAGTGGCTAGTGTACTTCTAGTCTGGGAGAGATAGAGAGACACAGAAAGAAAGGAAGGAAGGAAGGAAGGAAGGAAGGAGGGGAAGAAAGAAAGGAAGGAAGGATGGAAGGAAGAAGGAAAAGAAGGAAGAAGGGAAAGAAGGAAGAAGAGAAAGAAAGGAAGAAAGAAAAAAAGAAAGTAGGCCAGCCACCCTTATAAGGCTAAGAGATCTCTTACCCAGATAATCCACTAATATCCTTGAATGAATACATAGAGGAAGGGCTTTATCACACTGAAGATCCTCCGCTATGAAACATCTACGAGAGAACATGGATGCATAAGGTGAGAAGGCAAGGACATCTGACATCTCATTTCCCACCAGCTATACCCCTTTGTACTTCTTTGACTTCTTCCACCATGGACCCAATAAACTCATCATTGGGAAATCTCATCTTGTAAGATCCAATCAGCCTTGTTATACCTCTTCACATCTGCCCCTTTCATTGGAGGGTGGAGCCATAAACTCCCCCATTTAAGGAGAGGAGACAGGACAGACATCTCCTAAGACATCTCTTCATTTCCCTCCTGGTCGCACCCATTTTGGACTTATTTGACTTCTCCATCATGTCATTGTGCTGGGTATCTCCCCTCCCCTCTCCTCTTTCCAGCTTTCTTTTGTATATCATCTTCCCCAATGATATTATAAGCAGTTTGAGGGCAGAGACTGTCTTTTTCATATTTGTATCCCCATCACTGTGCACAGTGCCTAACAGGTGCTTAATGATGTTTATTGACTACTTATTAACAATTAGCAAGGATGGATTTAAATCTGCACCAATGGGGAAAATATCCAGTTTGATAAGATTACAGACCATTTTTCTACCTTTTCATTTAGCTCCCTATAATTGAAGGTTTTTATATAAAAATGTGAATAATAATCATAGCTCATTTATACAGAGCTTTCCAGTTAACAAAGAGGTTTATTGAAATTTGTCTCTCAGTGGATAATCTCTTCACTATGAATGTCCAGTGTCTTCTCACTCTCTAAACCCCTTACAACTATCAAAACAAAAAATGATCTGCTATTAGTCATTTTTACATGTGGCATAATAATAATAGTAATAATAACAAACTGGCATTTATATTCTACTTTAAGGTTTTCAAAACACTTCACATATATTATTTCATTTTGGGAAAGAACACTATACTTGGGAGTCAGACGATCTGGGTTCAAGTTACCACACAGCTCAGCTGCTTCCTGTTTGCATGACTTTGGGTAAGTCACTTGGTCTCTTTTAGACTCAGTTTCTGCACTTGTAAAATGGAGATTATATGTTCTTCTGAAAACTACTTCCTCCTCTCTCCCAAGGCATATCTTGGATACCTTTGAAGGGCCACCTTCTTCTCAAAGCCTTCCCTGACCTCTTATATTCCATGATGATCAGGGGATTATAGATTTAGAGCTGGAAATCTAGTCAGGTCATCTGGTCAAGTCTTGAGGTCATCTAATCCAGATTTTTTATTTTATAGATGAGGAAGTGAGGCCAAGGTCATACTTTCCTAAAGTATTAAGTAGGAGAGCCAGGATTTAAGAACAGGCACTACTCCAAATTTGTTGTTTGTTCTTCCTTATCAAAGAGGACCAGTGACATCACAGGGTGATGTCTTGACTAGTTCATAAATTGGATTTAAGTGAGGCAGAGTTGCACAGAGTTGTCAGCCTCTGTCTTCCAGAGACATCAAAGTCCAGTAGCAAGACAAAAGTCAGGATGACTGGTGATGGCCTGGGATGCAATGGATGACCCTGGCATCTTTGATGTCTAAGTTCTAAATTTAGAGTTACTGGACCACCACATCTCTCTCTCTTCCCCCTCCCCCATTCCTCCTCAGAATTTCTTTAATATTTATAGTCTGCCTCACTAATTAGGGACTTATTCACTGACTTGCATTGATGGCATTCTTTACCTACTTCTCACCCTTAGTGATCTCATCCAGGACCTGGGCTTCACCTCTCATTTCTAAACCAGATTTCCAAATGGGTAACTCCATTCCCAATCTCTTCCTAGAGTTAATCCAGCCCTGTATTTCCAACTGCCTGCTGTATACTTCCACCTGGAGTTTTCCCAGGTGCCTAGATTGCACCACCTCCTCATCTCAGAATCCTTTTGTTCAGGTGCCATCTCTTTCTTCGATGAGCCCTTCCCCGATTCCTTCAGTTTAGTACTCAAATAATCTTGTACCTACTTATCTCTGTATATGTTGTAATGTTTCTCCCTGTGATCCCCCACCCTCATCCCCACCACGTAAGCTCCTTGAGAGCAGACAATGTTTTATTTTACCTTCATATCGCCAGCACCGACCAGCATAATGCCCACCATTTGGCAGTCAATCACCTCAAACTCAACAAGTCCAAAATTCATCATCTAACTTTCTTATCTCTGTGGATGGCACCATCATCCTTCTAATCACTAGGCTTGAATCCATGGCTTCTTAACCTTTCTTTGTGTCATGGACCGCCTCTTTGGTAGGCTTCACAGTAATGAATTTTTCAGTTAGAGGTTAGTGAAAACAGAGGTGTAGTTCCTGCCCCTATTCAAGCTCATGGACCTCTTGAGAAGTACCCACACACCCCTGGGGGGTCATTGGAATTCATTGGAATTTAGAGTATAAAATCCTTGAGGGCAGGCATTGTCTTACTTTTCTACGTACATGTCCCGTGCTTTGCACGTAGTAAGTGCTAAATAAATGTTTTATTCGTGCATTCACCTTGCACTAAGGTCTTTAACACTAAGGTCTTTTTGAACCTCATAGCTTGCCCATGAAACATCTCCAGCACCCGGCATTCAGTAGGCGCTTAATAAATCCTCGTTGGACGAAGTGAGTGAATGAAGTCCTGAATGAGAATCCTACAAGCGAACGGAACCCCAGGGCTCTATTGTGATGGTGGGGACGCCATCGCACTGAGAGTTGCAAGGAGATGCTGTCATTGCTTCCTTTTTTTCTCTCTCCCGGGTGGAGAGCTGGGAAAGTCAGCTAGGGGTCCAACATGGCGCCGCCCTTAGACCAACGGCTTCTCAGACTGGGGGTCGCCATCTTGGCCCATGTGACCTCCAGCCCGGCCGGGCCCGGCTGGTGTCAGGCGTGCGGACGTACGGGGCGGGCCCTGGCGTCGCGGGCCTCGTGACAGGCACTTCCGCTCGGGGCGGCGGCGGTGGCGGAAGTGAGAGCGGAGCGCTGGTGTTGGCCATAAAGCCCGAGGCGGCGACGGCGACGGTGGTGGAAGAAGAAGGAGGCGGTGAAGGAGAAGGAGAGGGGAACCTCGTCGAGCGGACTTGGAGTGCCCTCTTCCCTGCTGTCCTGTTCGCCGAGCCCTCGAGACGCATCCGGCATCGCTCCCGAGCCCCCGGAGGAGCCGCCCGCCCTCTTGCCTGCGGTGAGCCGCGGGCCCAGCTGCCCCCTCCGTCCGTCCGTCTGCCCGCCCCCGGGTCCCCTCCGCCCTTCCCCCTCCGACTCCCCCATCCCTCGGGGCCGGGGCCTAACGAGGGTCCCGCCGCCCCGGCCCCCCTGACAATGAAGTGGGAGGTCCCGGGGCCTCGTGGGAGGGGTTCGAGCGCTGGTCAGGGGCGCCGGGACCGGTCGGAGGCAGCGGGATGCGGACGGGGACGTCGCCGGGGGCCCGGGGCTCGCCCTTCTTTCCCTCGAGGGCCGCCCGAGCCGGGGGTTGGGGGCCAGAGCGGTCAGCTGCCGTGGGATTGTTTACTGGGCGCTAGGTGCCGGGAAGCGGGGAGGAAGGGGCGGCCGTCCAGCCGGCCTTCGGGGCCGCAGGACCCGCTCGGGGGTGGTTCCTCAAGTGTCTCGGCCGCCGAGCTTTGCGAGCGAGGAGGGAAGGTCGGGAAGGATTCCGGCCTTGTGCAATGATGAAATGAGCGTTGGTGGCTCCTCACCAACGAGGAACAGGTCGTCCGTGTGATGAGAAGGATGACAAAACAGCAATTTTCCGTGACAGTTTCCCCGGTTGCAGTCGAGGGTGCGGGGATTTGTCACAAGTGTCAAGGCTGTGAGCCCATTAAGTTATTAAACTCGATTCTTTTGTTTGGGAGAGGCTTCGCCAGAACACCTGAGTCAAGCTGAATCAGTCAAAGTCATGTGGTCAGTATGCTTTTCCTTCGTGTTGTGTCCATGTGAGACCTTTCAGGCCGTGGAAGACAGAGGGCTTTTTGTGATCCACATGTGTTAACAAATCGTGGCTCCTTCGTGGGGTGAGGTTCTAGAGCTTGGCGGGGGGGGGGGGGGGGCGGCGGCGTTAAATTTAGATGTTGCCTAGTAGCTTTCTCTGGTTATCCTACTGAGTTATGTTTAGTGGGTTAAATAGACATTTTGAATGGAATCCTGAAGCTTGCAGTGACTTTTCTTGTGTTGTCTGATATTGTTTTTGGCAAAGCTTTTCTAGATCTTCTTCAACAGCAAGGAACAGTTCTTTGCTAAAGCCAGTAATTCAGCTGGCAGTTGCTACTTCAAGTACATTCTTCTATCGTTTAAGTAAACTTAGGAGCACTTGAGTGCTGTCAGGATAACTTACCTTTGTTAAAAGATAAACTGAGACTTGGAAGCTGGCCTTCTGTACCTGCTTATTTCTATTACTATAATTTGAGTTTTAACAAAATTGAGTGAAATAAGTGAAGATCTAGTGTTTAAGTGTTCATACTCTCTTTTAAAGGGTCATATCTTCTCCTTGGATACTGAAAGAATAAGTACTGTCTATTCCTTGTGACATTAACAGCTGATTTAAACACATGACTTGTCATATGTGGATTCGTAAAGTCTGTCCAGATTGTTATTCTTTTTAGAGAACTGGGGTCTTTCCAGATGTTTAGCATGAGAACTTGGTGTTAAGTAGGGTAACTTGCCCATACTTGGTGTTCAGATATTTCTTGATGAGTGAAATGAACCTTGTACAAGATTTGAGTTTGAATGGTTCTTCCCTAGAGAATGTTATCTTTAAAGCTGCCTAATATTAAAAGCCTCCGTGTGTGTATATGCATATATGTGTATATATATTTAATTTTAAAGAATGTAGAGATTTAAAGAAAGTAGAGATTGTTTATAAGTAGAGATTTTTTTTTTTTTGGATGAGGGATTCCAGATGAAAGCAGAGGCAAAGATAGGAATGTGGGAAAGAGCTTCCCAATTTAACCTGAAATAGTAATTCCAGCTTTTTGTTGATTTTCATTGTGAAGTATTCTTTTTATTCTTCCTTGGATTTATAAAAGAATATTACTATCAGATACTGTTCTCCAGATTAAAAATAGTAAATTTTTTATGCACAAGAATTTGTGTGGAATAAATTTGGATATCATAGGAACATACAGTAATGAAACTTTGGAAACATACAAACTGTTATTTCCTGAAGGGGAACATGTAGACATATAACTCAGGCATAGCTATTGCTTTCTCTTTCTTATTTATGTCAACCCAGATTACAGAATTGGCACATGATATTTTAGATTATATTTGGAATTTGATGGGTTAGGGAAATGTCTGTTTAGGTTGAATTTTGAGGGAAACTAGTTAATACCGCCAATGTACCTCTGTGACAAGTTACCCCTAGGGCTTCACTTGTTACTTAAAGCATATCCTTAATTTGGGGGATTAACTACTATTCCTTGTCCCTGTTGCTTTCATGATGCTTTTTTGTCAAATTCCTCATCTGTTTCCTACTGAGCTGCAGATATTAATGACTTGTTGAAATGTACTTACTGAAAGGTTTGAAACAATCACACTGGGTATGGGCTAGATTCCTGATTTCTTTAGCTGAAGTGATTGAGGAGTTTGCACACTTGGATCACGTCCTATCAGCTACATTCAGCATATCTTTATTAAAAGCTTGCCCATGTGAAATGCCACAGCTCTCACAGCTTTTTCGTAGTCCGAACAAGGATTTTTGTTGAAGGGTCTATAGTAAGACCGTGTGGATCAGAGGGACATTGATGTTTCAGAAAAACCGTGTTTTGACACTGTTTTATCTCATGTGATTGTTTGTGGTTACTTAATGAAGGAACAGTTGGATCTGAAGCAACTTCCAAACAGTGATGCTTATTTTGTCTACTTTTTTTTTTGTAAACTGTGTCTCTGGTTAGAAAACCTATGATCATAAAGCCTCTCAGCCTTATGGCATATGTTGCCTTGAATCAGAGTTGCCCACAAAGTGGGAGCAATCAAAATGCAAGCAAATAAATAAATAAATGCCTTCTCACACCCCCTCCTCCCAAACCAAACATTTATTTAGCCTGAGGATTTTACCTTTCTTGAGCATGAACTGAATTTTGAAGGAAGCACTGTGAATTAAAGTTTGTGGGTGTGGTCTGCATTTGATGTATCTTGCATAGGTAAATTAATGCAAAATACAACTGAGGTCTCTACAGTGATGTTACCTAGTTTGTTTTTTGTGCTCCTGAAAACTGTCCAACTCTGCCAATGAGTTCAGTGTTAATCCACAATCTAAAGTAATTTAAACATAGAGCTATGACAGATTTTAGTAGATGCCGAACTAAGGAGCCAAGGGCTAGGAATGGAAACTAGGAGGCTTCCTCCTTATTAAGGCTAAACAATGGTTCGCTTGGCACTGATGTCATCTTCTGAAGGACTTGGGGGATAGAAATAAGTGATTGCTTCTCTTTTCTTCTCCGATTCTGTATTCCAAAACCTACTGTCTTACTGCTGCCTCTTATCTCATATATAACATTGTTATTGAATTCTCAGTTGCGGTTCTTTGGGTTATCAAACTACTGTCGATTCCATTTAAATAAATTTCTTTGCTCTTCCATCTGCAGTTTGCTGCAGTAACATTTTGCAATGTGTTAATCTCAAAATTACCTGCCCCCACATTTTCTCTCTTCTTGCCATGGTTTTCTTCCCACTTTTTATACTGAACATAGGGAAAATAGTGTGCCTCTGCCTCTTGAAATTCTCTGAAGTGTAATAGTGGTTATTTATATCAGCTACAAAACAGAGGTGAGTGGTATGTCAGATAGATTTGAACACGTCAAAGAAATGTTTGTTGAATTTAGATTTTTTTTTTACTTCTTACAAAGATATATTTAAATTTGAAATCAGTTACAATTCTGGGCTGTGGTTTTCAAAAGCAACTTTAAAGAATAGCTGTTTTCAAAATACTTCATTTTGGGAGATAGTTTGAAAGTTTTGTGTCAGTCCTTTCTTGCATACTTTATTGCAAATTCTTTACTTCATGCAAGAGGACAGAGGAACCTCTGCTATGTGCTGCCTTTTTTTTTTTTTAAAGTGATGTCACCACTGCTGTGGAGATCAAGCTAACTGATTCTGCTTCTCATTTTGCATAGTGCCAAGCAGTATGAGTTCCATGGACACAACAAAATTGTGGCAACAAAATGAAAACTAATGTCCACTTTAGGAATTCTCCAATTTAATGAGTAAATTTCATATGGCCTAGCTTGTATTAGTGCTATTACATATATTAAAGGTGTGTGTGTCTCCCCTCCATAGTTTCTTCTTTTTTTTAATTGTCTCAATTGCTAAAACCCACCTTCTTACCCTCTCACTCTAAACCCTTCCCTCCTGCCCTGCAATTGAGAACACAAGAAAAACAACCTATTACAAACACACGTAGGGCATTGGTTTCTTCAAGGTAACTACCTACCTCATGACTATTGAGCTAATAACCACAGATGGACGTGTATCAGGCCGATTAAATACAATTACCTAGCTTATAAGCATGAAAGAGATCAACTATATGTCTTCAAGGTTTTCAAGGGAATCAATATGGAAAATGTTAGTAACTCATACTTTTATAGTACCTTAAAGTTTGTAAAATGCTTTCCTCCAAGTATTCTTTTACAGATGAGGAAACTAAAGGTCTGAGGTTAAGGGATTTGTCCAGTAGATCTAGATTCCTATAGCTATTAAATCTCTATGGTAGGAATCGAACTCAGGTTTCCTGATTTCAGGGCCACAATTCTCAGTTGTTTATACTGCCTACATATTGTCCTCTGTGTTCAGACTCTGGTGTTTGTATCCATTTTAGTTTTTGTTTCTATCCTTTAGTAGACTATAAGCTTCTTGCAGTCTTGAAAATTAGTTATAGTGCTTGGCTGTGTCTTCCCTCACTTCTACTGCCTCTTTTCCGGTGGGAAACAGCTCTGCCAAACCAGGGGGAATAACTAATCTGCCCCAGGGCTCAGTCAACTGTTTCAGGGAGCCCTTCTTGGGCTGTGCTGCTGCAGACCTTTGTTCAGATGGAGCCGCCTTTCTGGAAGTGAATGGGGGTCAGTGAAGGAGAAGCTGGGAAGGAGAGCTGGGTACTGGCAGTGTGCTGAAACTTGTACTGCTTGGTGCTGAGGAAGGGTGACTCAGAGCCTGCAATCTATATAGGGAGCAAGACACACAAACAGACGCAAA